AGATGGTTGTTCCTGTCTTTGGTGGTCCTTGTCGGGTTTAGGGGTGTTCCCAGGGTTCGAAAATGTCTGTACGGTTGCAGGATTCGGTGCATGTTAGATACTCTAAGGGTTCAGGCTGTTTGTTGAAACGCACTCCTCCTGCTAGGCTAGAAATCGGAAAGAAAGGAGGACTATCGCGCCGGAGCTTGTTATCAGCCATGACCTGTCGATGCTCCTGCTTAGTACTGAGTAGCCGTGTTCTGTTGTGTTCTACTTCTCTGTACATTTGACACACAGTCTCTCTAGTTGTCTCTTTCTTTTCTTTCTGCCGGGCTCAGGGGTCACGTCGTGACCCGCAGGCACTTGGCTCGCCCGACTGTCTCTCTCTCTCTCTCTCTCTCTCTCTCTCTCTCACACAAGGCATCGGGTACATGAGCTAAGTTTTGGCTGAAGGCTGCGCCCATGTTGCAAGACATAAAGGTTTTGGTCATGAAGGTTTTGGCGATGCAGGGACAGCCCGTCAGAGCGAGTGAATGAGGGAGGGAAGGAGGGAGGAGGAAGGAGAGGGAGACCGAGTCAGCAAAGAGACAAAGACAAGAAAAGAGAGAAAGACAGAGAGTGAGACACTGGCAATGAGAATGATAGAAAAGTGGCAGAGAGAGATACAGAGAGCGAGAGCTGGCGGAGTGAGCCTGACACACACAGACACCCAAATGAAGGTGTGAGATGTTAATAAATGGAACTATGAAGTCCTTGGTCACATTGCCAAGACTCCAAAGCCACAAATTCACAAGTAGGGCAGCGCCACCCCGCCTCGCGGCGAACGGCCATTGGAGGAAGAGCTTCCTGGCATGTGCTGAAGCAAACGAAAAAGGCATGGAATGGCTTGATATGAGTCGTACGAAGGCTATCGGCATGAACACTGTTATAGCAATCTCTATTCGTGGTTGCTTGACTTTGGAGTCTAAATATATGAAATTATACACGACTCATGGTGATGATTTGAGCTGCGTGGGACCACTAGCTCCAGGCCAGATTCGAGGAGAAGCCATGCAAGAGCGGGAAGACGGCAGACAGACAGACACCTGCAGACAGAAAGACAGTGCGAAGAGAGGGACAGAGATGAGACCGGCCGAGAGGTTGGGCAGCGAGGAAAAACCAGAAAGACAAGGGATCAAGGAAAGATGACAGACAAACAGAGAGACGGACAGACAGACAGACAGACAGGCAGGCAGGCAGGCAGGCAGGCAGGCAGGCAGGCAGGGAGGCAGGCAGGCAGGCAGGCAGGCAGGCAGGCAGGCAGGCAGGCAGGCAGGCAGGCAGGCAGGCAGGCAGGCAGGCAGGCAGGCAGGAGGCAGGCAGGCAGGCAGGCAGGCAGGCAGGCAGGCAGGCAGGCAGGCAGGCAGGCAGGCAGGCAGGCAGGCAGGCAGGCAGGCAGGCAGGGCAGGCAGGCAGGAGGCGGCAGCAGGCAGGCAGGCAGGCAGGCAGGCAGGCAGGAAGCAGGCAGGCAGTGCAGGGCAGGAAGGCGGCAGGCAGGCAGGCAGGCAGGCAGGCAGGCAGGCAGGCAGGCAGCAGCAGGCAGGCAGGAGGCGGGAGGAGGCCAGGGGCAGGGCAGCAGGCAGGCAGGCAGGCAGGCAGGCAGGGAAGGGCGGCAGGAAGGGCAGCAGGCAGGAGGCAGAGGCAGAGGCGGAAGAGAGAGAAGGCGACGAGAAGAAGAGGACGAGAGAGAGAGAGAGAGAGCCGAGAGGCGAGGAGAGAGAGCGAGGAAGCGAAGCGATGAGCGAAGCGAGAGCGAGACGGAGGAGCGAGAGCGAGAGCGAGAGCGAGAGCGAGAGCGAGAGCGAGAGCGAGAGCGAGAGCGAGAGCGAGAGAGAGCGAGAGCGAGAGCGAGAGCGAGAGCGAGAGCGAGCGAGAGCTGGGCAAGCAATTGCTTCCGCCAAATTTCAGCACCAAAAACCACCATTGCCCCAGTGCTTCCGGCAGACCAGCGGCAATTTGCAACACTTGCAACATAGCAATCACTCTCCCCGGACGCCAAGAAACCTTGAAAATGCATCCCTAAAACACTGACCGATGAAAAGTAGGCTGGGGGATGCACCCAACAGCCGTCGGCTAAGTTCAGCTTCTCCACTGAAGAGAGGCAATGCTCACCTTGCCATTACAACTATTGGCGATATTGCGATGTCGTAAAGACGAAGGGGAAAATAATCATTGGATGGATGGTTGATGAAGCAAGCTCTAGAGCAGAGTATTGGAGCGACGATGAGTAGGAGCATAATGAGGATGAGCAGGAAGACAACATAAGATCAACATGAGGAAGCGGCAGGCCAACGACAACGACCTTCGTGAGCTAGGCAGAATTGTCACGGAAGAATTCCCATTCGTCCTAATCGCACTAGATTCGCTTTAAAACTTAACCCTGCAGCTCCTGCCTGCAGATGCACCAGCAGGCAAACTACTCGTAGCAAGCTAAAAGCGCACAGGGCTCAGGTCGCGTCCATTGAATCCACCACAGACGACCAGGTGTCCTGAAGTCGGCAAACCCTGCTGAGACAGCAAATGCTAACACTGAAGCATAGCACATTAACAAGGTAGCACATAGACGTTCACATGACCCAGTGTGGGGTACAAAGCATTCTTACGTTGCCCACTCTCGTCTCGAGCGGATTTTTCGAATCAGCTCCAGATGCTGAGCAAAAGGAAAAGTTGGCGTTGGGTACTGCCCCCATACAGTAACAGTCTATAATAGGCCTACTATTAACGTCCTATTATAGCTATATTATGAATATTATCCAATTGTTACTGAGTGGGGGCAGTATCCAAAGTTGGTGTTCTAAATGGACTTGGCCGAGAATGTTGAAACCGTGAAGTATTGAAACTACTGCCGGCATCATTACAATCGTCTTTGTTGGATCAATTGAACGGATTTACAAGTTGAGAATGGTGGGTGATCTGCAAATTTGTTTCCACTTAACTGAAACCGCAATGGACTCTCTAACTCCCAAACGTGCCGCAAGACAAACATGCAAGATCTAAGACGCAAGTTCTGTGCAGACGTCAAAACTTCGGGCCGCACGGCCCGGCATGTACATCAAATTCATGTCTCAAGGTGCTGGCAACACAAAACACCAGCCGGCCAGCAACGTACAGGAAGAACCTACGCGTAGTCTGCTGGCCCCATCAATGGAGCTCCTTACGCTTGTTACAAACTGTCCCGGCCTTTCACGACGGCGCTCGCTGCGCCTGCCCGCCTGCCAAGCTCATCCATGTAATAGCTTGCTCGAATCGTTTCCGTCTCCCTTCCAGGCAAGGTACTTAAGCAGCCATGTTCTCTCAACACGCAGCGCCGGGCAACTTCCACACCACATAAAGCGAACAAGAAGAGCAAACCTTGCCCACATGTGCCTGCAACTCATGGACGGCAAGGTCCCCCAAGAACCTCGCAAAATACTTTTACGGCCGGTGATACGAGGAAATGCAGCAACTTTTCTGAAGACTTCGCATGCGAAGTCTTTGCAATCGCTGAGAAAATCTGCGAACATCTGACAGCAACATGTCTTCACGTCTCTCCATTGCACTACATGTGCCTTGGTGTGGATCGAAACGTTCTGCTTGATCTAGCTGACGCTGACCATCGAAACCTGCGTCTCTAACCGCACACATGCTTAGATCGTTTCAGCGCCAACACCTCAAGGTTACAAAAAGTTTGACATCGACATTGGCCTAACAAACCGAGATGTGCAGCACCCCTTGCTGACCCCAACCAATCATCACCGCCCGCAGAAAAGAATATTGTCGCAGTTGTCAATTGATACGTGGGAAACTGCAAATCCGTGTGTCTTGCGGCTGCGTCTTGCGCACAATCTGGTTCTCTGACTCCTTGATGGGCTTTATTATGTAAAATATATTAACGGACGAACAATGCCAGCAGCTGCCGCGAATAGCCCTGGAAAAAGCCTCCAGGCCCGAATTCAACCGACAAGCACAACAGGCAGCCCACCTCCGCAAACGACGATCTGACCGCCAATCACCGCGGCAACTGCTGCCTTTCCACACCACTCCACACCCAGGGCACCAATGACCAGCAACAAGCTCCACGCGACTAGCCCTGCATGCATGGAAAACCTGGCTTAGTCCTGCCATTCACAAAATTGCCCCCAACCGTCAGCCCAGACTTTCAATCCGCAACTCCTGAACCGCAGCCCACTTGTCCTGCACGACTGCCCCAACCTTTTACAACCACTCTCGAGGAGCATGTCCATGGAACGCATATGCATGCCTGCTGGTGGCCAACCGGATTTTGCACACAATGACATGCTGCGGCATTTGCTAAAGAAACGCCCGACGGCTTGGGCGTTCTGGGCCTTTGCGCAAAATGTTTCGCAACAGTGTTTCCAGCAACGCTTTTTCCAACAGTGCTGCAGAGCGGTGGTCTGCAAATAAATCATCCCACATAGCCCCCGACATCGTCTTTCTCTACTTCGGCGCTTATGAAGAAATCGTGTTCAGATACGCGAGATTCGTTGAGCGGTCCCGGGTGAAGTCTCTGCGACTACTGAAGGCTTGCCTTACTCGCTGTCGCCAGCTGTTCAAGAAAAAGCGCGCATAGTATGAGTAGCAGCATAAAATACCATAAATGCTGAGGACGCGGTCGTCTCTCAGCTTGCAAGCAGCGGAAGCTCAACTTTGCGAGTTCGAGCCAGTTTTCGCCCCGCGGAATCACAGGACCGCGAGCAAGATAACCCGGATAGAGCCCTCGCATATTTGATGCATGAAGCCTCGCTCACGGAACTAGTTCAACGTATTTGTCCGACCTGTTTGCTGTGACAATGCCGCGATTCACGTGGACTGCTGAATAGAAGCTGGATGAACCTGTAACCAAGTCGGCAGCCGTGGAAAACCGTGCAATCCACCAGTCCCCCATCTCCTACCCAAAAATAACCATCCTAAGATGCGTCCCAAGATGCCTGCAATTCCTGCGCTGCCCCCCAAGCCCGACAAGGCTCCAAAAACGGTGAGTTTCAAGAACACTGGCTGTTTCCATGATCTTCGTACCGCGGGTGCAGATTGCAGAAATGCTCGCACGCAGGAGCCTCGCGTGCCAGTGACATGGGCGGCACCTTGGTGAAACAGCGACAGTATTTGGTGCAAACATGTGGGCCCTATGCCCCAAGTTCGATCTGTGCTACAATACTTGTAAAGCTGGGTTTGCCTATGTCGGACCGGACTGCATTGCACGAGGGCCACGCCGAACCCCAAGTGTGGGAGATGGGATCAAACCGATGGATGTCTTCCAACAACCTTCAAGCTGAAGGGATTTGCTAGAAACCGAGTGATGCAAGCAAATTTCAATGCCATCACACGAAATAAGCAACGCCTGTCTGCTTTTATACAGCTTCCGACGGACAAAGTTACCAGGCCTGGTCCCATCATAGCCGCCACACACGAAGATTTGTCCCTGGCCTCATTAAGATCGCAAGGTTGAAACATGCACTAGCTTCAGCACCCAACATCAGATAAGGCTCTGCTGGCTGCCACGAGGTCGGCCGCGGGCTTTGCGCGGCAGGCAGCTCGCCCAACAACATGAGATGCAGATCGAAGTGCGCGCACAGCGGCAACGCCCGCCAAGCTGACAACACTCACCGTCAGCTCGTGCAATGCGAAGGCGCGTGTCAACGTTGCCGTGCCATCAAGCTCCAAAGGGTGGGCACGGCAAACCCGATCAAACCGCTCCCGGTGCAGGCGCGCAAAGAATCGGTCGTGGCTCAAAGCACCACTGGCACAGAGGCACTCCTTGAGCGCTGAAACCTCTTCCTGCAGTATCTGAAGCTTGCCCTGCAAGTCGGACACGGGCAACTGCGGAACAATCATAATTGGAAGGCCATGCCCACAGCCGGTGCAAACTAGACGTCTCGCGGAAGGAGAGATCTGAAAGGAGCATAATCAACTGCTAATAGCTGCTACTGTGCAACTACGACGCGAATAAACTCTTCCTTGCCCGACGTTCTTGCGCGACTTCGAACTTCGGCTAACTCAAACCCTTTTGTTGTTGCACCTTATTTCGTCGTTACGCTCATGTGTTTAAAAAAAACAGACCAGCTGTCAAGTGCTGCGGCTTTGCTGCATTGTCCTTGTCTCATGCGATCCTGAAAATGGCTCGGTGCGAAAACTATAAAGATTGGACACACACTCACAACGCTTGTCAACACCCATGATTTTTTTCCCCACACACTTTTTTGCGACAGCACGAAAGCAACGGTGCGGTCCCTGTGCACACCGCCAACTACGAGGACGTGGATCATCGGGCGGGCAAGCGACTGGGATGTGGCGGGCTAGCCGGTGCTCGGCGAGCACGTCGCTGAGGTCAGGGGGCGAGGGATCGACGTTGGCAGCGCCGTGGAGTGGCAGTGACAACAGTGAGGCTGCAAAGGACCTGGCAGCAGCAAAGGCGAGAAACCCAGACCGTCGCTGCACCCACGCTGCGGTGCTGCTGGCACGCAGGTGGGGGCGTGCGGACCGTGCCCGGCTGCGGAAGAGGAGTCGCACGAACTGGACGGCCTCAGCGCTCCAGCGTCCAGCGACCTCGATGGCAAGCACGACGAGGCGGCACCGTGTAGGTGCGCTCTTTGCTGGCGTGCGCAATGCGCAGGGCCGCACCGATGGGTGTCGCCGCGGCCGGCCCCGCGCATCGAGGGCCGAAACCAGGGTAGTGTCGACGGCGAGCTGGACGCCGCCCCAGAGGGGTAGCCCGTTAGCGAATTTGGCGATAACCTCGATGCGCCGGTCGTCGTGCCTCTGGGTGGCTATGTTGAGGTCGCGACGGAAGACATTGGCTGCGACAGTAGCCCCGGCCTCTCTGCAAATGCGTGCGGCGGCCCGCTCCAAGGGAATGCCGCGACCGCGGGGGAGTCCAGCACGCGGGCAGGCTGCGCGGTGGTCGCCGAGTGAATCAAAATGAATGCCACAACGGCAGGCCGCAGCATCGAGAGGCAGTGGGAAGCGCAGACGCCGGAGCAGGAGAACACGGTAAGCCGATGTAAGCCGCTGAATCAAGGCGCAGTTCCGGGCACGTAGGGAGGGCGGTGTAAACACGGCCGGCGAAGGGACCGCCCTGGGAGTGAAGCAATGCAATGCTCGCCTCATCAAGCGCAGATGTGAGATCTGCAAGGAGAGCGTCGTCGACAGCCGTGGAAGCGGTGAGGCGGCAGGGGGGGCCCAGCCGGGCGAACCCCGCCTGCATTCCACACACGCGCCCCGGCGCCGAGGTTCTGCACGGAGCAGTGGGTCTTGGAGACGAGCTTGACCACCTCCCCGACCTCGCAAAGCTGCGCCACGATCTGCTCTTCCCGTTGAGGCAGTGCAGGAGGGGTCCTCCACGCGCCGCCACTCCGGCGCGAAGGTCAGGCAGGCCGCCTCCATGCGGCGCTCCCGGTATTCGCCCTCCAGGCGCTTGCACTCCTCGAAGCGGTACACCGGCGTGCCGTCGGGGTGCTTCAGGGCCGTCAGCTCCGCCGGCAGGAACTTCTTGGGCAGGTCCTAGAAGACCAGGCAGTCTTGAGGGCCACGACGTAGCGCGGCGGGACCTTCTCGAGGTGGCGGCGGATCTTCGCGACGGCCACGTGCTCCTGAGCCATGACGTAGTCGTGGAGGGGACGCAGCGTGTAGTTGCTGTAGAGCTCCGTCGCGTAGATGTGGTCCCAGTGCACCTTGCCGGTGGCGTCCGTGAAGGTTTGCCGCCACTGGCAGCCCTGGCCGTCCAGCTCGTGGTTCGAGGCGCGCATGGAGCAGACCAGGTCCTGATTGCGGGGCCACAGGCCGATGAGAATTCACCGAGAGCTTGGCCATGTGCTCCTCCTTCCGGCCAGGCGTCCTCCATGGCCTCCAGGGCCTGCGCCAGGCACCGGGGCTCCACGTGCGCCGTGGCGTCCAGGGACCACTTGAAGTCGGCCCATGGTGGCCCGCCCCGTGTCCAGCAGGTATGCCGCCGCACGCTTGCTGCACCAGCCCCGGCCCAAGACCGGCAAAGGGAAGGTGGCGTTCGCCAGGGCGTTCTTGCGGCAGCGCACGACGTCCACGCCGTGGCAGATCCGGTCGGGGTCGCACTTCGCCAGCTTGCAGACCAGCGCCGGCGGGCGCGGGCTCTGCACGTAGGTCTCGTGGACGCTGCGGCACACGCGGCTCTCCAGGCACGCAACGCGGGAGGACTCCAGGAGGGTTTTGTTCCGGTGGCACTCCAAGCAAAGGGCAGCACCTGGGGCTGGCCCTCCAGGGCCTGGTGCACCGGCACGACGTGGTCGAGCTCGCAGCACCCCAGCTCGATGGGGGCGGAGCAGAGCTTGCACAGGTAGTTTTGCTCCTCCAGGATCCGGTCCCGGCTGGCGCGGGGTCCAGGCGTTTAGCCTTCAGGAGGTGCTGGAAGGCCTTGGCGGCGGCGCCGGCCAGGCGCTGCCCGCGGTACGGCAGGCCCAGCTTCTGCATCCAGGCCCGGAAGATCTCGGCGTCCTCTGGGTACCCCCGCCACCCCTGGACTTGAGACCAGGGCAGCTCCGCACTGTTGCTTCAATAGTCCAAGCTGCTTTCAGAGGTATGTCGGGCTCAAAGGGACCAACAGGGTAGTGATTCTGTGTGCGTTCTTTTTTACTGGAAAAAGAACGGGTAAGTATACTCCTAAAACCGAGCATCGGAAGCCAACTCAACATGATCTGCCTATGCCCCACATGGATTCTCAGGGTCGCGCCACGATACTTCCAGAGCACCGGGACATAGGCATAGGCTACTTGCACGCAGGACCCAGGCACCCAAAAGCACTGTCTTGTCTGCTCATCAGCGTTGTACAGCTCAGTGTGCGCGATGAATGCAGAGTCCAGCCGGGTCTCAATGTGTCCCTGTCTGTTCCACCAGTCATCGTAAGCAACTGAAAAATCTGCTGTACTGCTCCATGACTGCATCCACAAGGAAAGAGAAGACACATGCCATGAAGAATCCATGTCGTGCCCATGCCAAAATACCATGTCTTGCTTAGTCCACGTTAAAAAGCATGCCTCCGTGTTCGCTGCAAGGTTGAGTTCCACTGTCCGCCCTTCCACTTGCCAAATCTGCTTTGCTGTGGTGCAGAACCATGTAAAAAGGAAAAGCAAGCCATTCATCAGATCACCTCCAAGCTGGAAAATCTTCGTTTTCCTAAGAGCACAGCTTTGCGAAGGGATCACTCTCTGCAGCCGCAAATGTAGAGGGCAGAAAAACACTGACAGCGCCAATGGCAGACCTACCTACACTACCCCGTCCCCAAAATACAGCAACACGTCTTGAGCAGAGGTGCTTGAAGCCCAAGCTTTCAACGAGTGGCTCTCGAACCGGCGCCTTCGCCAAGAAGGCGAGACCTACGCCGACGAGCTGGGCCGCATGACGGAAGCCGTCAACCGGCGGATACCCCAGCTGCGTTATGCGCCGGCGGAGCGGCAGGGCGTTCACAGGATGGCTCGGGATGTGGCTGCTGGTAGAGGCACGATCGACTCCCAGGTCTACGGCGGGCTGATGTAAGTAAGTAAATGGAGGAGCGCAGAAGCAATGGCTTCCGCGTCAAGCCCAGCTTTGGCCAGGTCCTAGGATACATCCAGGAGGGCGAGCCCCTGGCCCTGGACCTGCCCAACCGCAAAGCGAGCTTACACCTCCTCGCACTGGTACCTCGACGATTATCCCAACGCACCGGAACCCATCAGCGAGGCTCCCCTGCCCCACACCCAGCTGAACCCGGCGTCTTCTTTCGAGACTGCCGACGAGGGCTACGATGGAGTTCCTTTCCCTCGCCCGCCAAGAGAGTTCACCAGGCCCAGCTTCCTGCCCGACTCCGACGACGGAGGCATGGACCCAGGCCAGGCCCTGCGGAACGACGGACTGGATCCGCCAAGGCCTCCGAGTCTGGGTGGCCGGCTGCGGGAATCGGGCATTCAAGCGGCTGAGACGATTATTGCCGGAGGAGCTGCAGGAGCAGCAGCAGCCAGCCAGAGCTTCGCGGAGAGTCGGACCTTCTTTCAGAAACCTGATGTTTTACAAAAAGGTTGAGGTGAATTCTAATTCAGGAGCCCCGACAGCTCCGGCCAAACCGATGTTCGAGCATCTCGGGTTTGGCAAGCTGAGATTTTCAAGATCAAGGGGGCAGCGTCCCGAATGCCCCCCCCTGTCCGCATTGGGTGGGAGGGTGGGAAAAAAATTTCTTGCCTCTCTCCTTGAGCAGACTCGCGGGTAAGATAAAGACATCTGATCTGCCATGTCAAAGAAATGAGGCTCATGCAAGAAATGTTTTCCAAAAACCTACGATGCAAAACACGGCAGCTTCACTGCCTGTCAGGTTTCCAAAAGAAAGAAAAGTCTGCAAGCAGAAAATGTTCTTCTTTCAGAAACCTGATGTTTTACAAAAAGGTTGAGTGATATCGAATATCACGGACATCAATCATATAAGACAGAATCCTTCAAATAATATTGAAATATATTTCCATACCGAAAGTATAATGTATCAGATCCTCACAATATATAAAAGGAGGATTCAAGGAGTTGTCGCGCCACGCTCTTTTTATTCGCACGGTGATCTGGGGCGAATTCTAATTCAGGAGCCCCCACAGCTCCGGCCAAACCGATGTTCGAGCATCTCGGGTTTGGCAAGCTGAGATTTTCAAGATCAAGGGGGCAGCGTCCCGAATGCCCCTGACATCACGCGAACCCCTGATGCAGAAATCTCTGGTTAGAACTCTCATCGTGGATGAAAGCTTCTACAACCTTGGCGCCTACCAAGCTGAGGATGCTTTGCCCATCACCTCGTGAGGGAGGGTCGGCCACGTTTGAAAAGGATGGCACTCTCTCGTACCATGCGATGC